CTTTAGGTCTATCGCGATATTGAATAAGATCCAATTTGCTCAAGATTTTCAACCCCCAACCCCCCAAAAGTGAACAAAGAAGACAATACTACCCTGGGATTAAAAATACATAAAGTCGCCTTCCAAGGTATTCTTGACAACTTTGTTGTCGGAGAACCGAATTCGAACAGAAGTTCATGGAAAATAGAACACACATATCGGTTGTCATAGTTACGTACTCTAGTTCACTGAATATTTTGATCTGAGTTTGATTAAGGAGTTTGTGAAAACGAATGCATTTCACAAACAGCATCAAATCTGTTTTATTGAGAATACTACTCAAAATGGAGTTCCGGAATTTGCGGGATAGAAAACTTCGAAAGGCGTAGCATGCGTACTTTATTCGAATCGTAAATCCTACATATTCAATGCATTTAAAGTGTACAATGAAGTCTTCGAGGTCTGCTTTATACATCACACTAGCTGCTCCTTGAATTAATCCCAGACTTCGCAGTCATTTGCTCAGACCTTTGCACAGCTCGTTCGTTCACAGGTAATCCTTCCGTAGCAGTTTGCTGTCTGACATTATGTTCATCCGTCCTTTCGAATTTTTCAGAATCTAGAAAAGCTTTATTAGACTAGGAAGATTCATCATGAATTGAACAGACTCACTTGGATCGTCAAAATGAATTTCATCCACATGTCTTCTGTGTGTGAACAAATCATCCTTGTCGACCAATGAAAGCATTCTGCGACCTAAAAACTTTAGGATAATTCCTACAAAAGGTCTCAGGTTATTACCACAGAAAAATACAATTTCAGATGAATAAATATACAATAAATTGGATCTTTGAAAGATTTAGCGGAAGTTTAGTGGAAGAATGAACAGAATTACGATATTACAAAAGAACGGGTCTACACCACTCTCAAGCTCAGAAAATGTGGATGGGTCCAAAGCAGTAATAGTACTCGTAAGTGTTCAAACAAATGCTCTGCTTGTCTGTTAGAACATGGGCGTCTGGTAGCGGTAAACAAATGTTTGTATCCAATGCTATGCAGCCAATCTGAAACACTTCGAGGAAAAGTGGCTGCCCATATGTATTAGGTACAACATGAATACCCTCCGAGCTTAAAACTTTACGCAAAGCATGAATGGTAAAATCTGCTGAGGGTGACCTAGTGAAACACACCTCTGGCCACTTAGAAAATGGGGATCTAACAAAAAGAGCATTCATTCCATTGAGAAATGGACTGCAAAAATTAACATGAACACGTAGCCAAGCCTCTGTTGAAACAGGCCATGAAACCCACTTGGATGGGAACCATCGAGCATTATGGTAGCATTTAGACCAGCTTTCAGCTTTAGATCATATGTCGGCACCCATGTTTGGCCATCAACAAGTTAACCTAGCCAATGACTTCATCTTTTCTGTCCCAAGATGGCCGGAATGTAGGTCGTCTAGTACGGCTCTACACAATGTCGGTGTCATTCAAACGCAGTAATCCAACCGGCGTAATTGAAAGTTCATCATGTCTAGCATAATTATATGAAAAGCGCTTCCGGGTCTTGGCATTCCAACCCTTCCGCAAATTAGTAATCACAGCAGAGACATAATGACGCGTGTCACGTATAAGTTTTGATGGCTCACCGGGAGAGGTTTTATCAGCAGTGAATCCAAAATGTCCTCTGGGTTCGAAGCGGGTAGCGATTTACGGGAAATATAATCCACGTATCACATGTGTTTGGTACTTTGATGTTTCATTCCGTAATCATTTGAGTGAGATGCTACGCTAAACCATAGTAGCAGAGCTTATAAAAAGGGATTTT